GTCCCGGGAAGTTGAAATTGTGCGCCAAGTATGACGAATCAAGGGGGAAATATATCCCTCTGTTTGAGTACACCGTAATCTAGCTGAAAGATGGTAGAATAAGACCGTTCAATTTAAAACGTTTTTATAATAAAATGTTGTGAAGTCAACCCGTCCCAATGCACCAGATCCCCTTACAATACACGGCTAAGGGCAGATCCAGAGATATATTTCAGTCAGTCTTCTAAATTTATCTTTGATTCATCCTTCACCTTTGACCGCCTTTCGACAGGAAAAATTAGATATCCGTTAAAGTAAACGTGAAACCTGTATAAGTACTCTTCCCAGAAGTCAATCCACTTACGTCACGGTAACCCCAAGCTGTATGAATCTAATGGAGGACGGACTCTGTTACAACCAATATTAGGGATTATTCCCATAGATGTCATCGGTCTACAATGTACGTAGATCGAACTTAATCTGTAGGGACTCTCGCTGAGTGCCATCAGCTTAACTGAATCACATGCTTCCTCTTATTTCCATCGTACGCGTACAGTCACCAGCTTTTCTGTTTTCAACTAAACGCCTATAAGAGACGTGTTAATCTGTAAAACTGATTGATTTTTGCGAGATTCCCCGCGGAGTTGGATCGATCTCCGTAGACCAATTGTGTCTGTGGGAATGCGCTCTTGGGCTGTATTCCAAGAGCTTTTAGATAGGTCTATCCCCGCTGGGAGTCTTACTAGATTACTGTCAGATAATCTGACTTAAATGTCCGTCCCGCCTACTACAAGCTGTAAGGAGATAATTAAATTTCGTGTCCGCCCGGCTGACAGCTATTTAGCGTGAACCCCCAGGGAGTTAGGTCGATCTAAAGTAGATCGATCTAATCTCTGGAAATGGGGTGTTGGTTTCATCAGAAGGGTATGAACTGAAAGGGTGGAAAGGAGAATACCGGGGGGGGGGAGGGGCAGTTGATTACTCATCATGCTAAAAGTTTTATTTATCAAATGGTTTTGTGAAAGGAAAACTACTGTCATTGCTCACTTTCGTTGAAGCCTTACACCCCATTTCCATAGATTTTTAGATCGATCTATCCCTGAGTCTCACTAGATTACTGTCAGCTTGGCCGGCTTAAGCGTCTGTCCCGACTACTAAAAGCTGTAAGGGGGTAATTAACTATGGTGCCCGCTCGGCTGACTGCAATTTAGCGTGAACCCCCAGGGAGTTAGGTCGATCTAAAATTTAATATTTAGATCGATCTAAATCTCTGGGAAAGCACCCTTACTCTCTGTAGAAGACTCATATTATGCGTTTATGACAGCAAATGAGTAATATGTTAAAGGCAGTTTTTAGATACCGAAAATGTTGCTAAGATCGCACTTTGTATCTGGTATGAAGCCCTTCTACATTTAGAATAGATTGTCTTTTTTAATTTTAATGTTTTTTTTTTTTATTTGGGGGGGGGGGGTTCTATAGTTTTAACTCACGATGATGACTCTGGAATTCGGACATTGCCTTTATATGCCTGCAAGTACTTTTATTTGAGTATATTGAATTTATTTGCTTATTATGCAATAAAAAAATATAGGTCAGATAGTTTTTACTTTTGAACCATGACTTTGAACTGAGAAGAGGGGATGGAACCTAATGCATGGTTATATAAAAATAAAAATAAACAGAAATCAACATCAACTGCAAAGGAGTAAAAAAATTAAAAAACAAGTTCCATCAGGGAAAATAAAGGCAACCCGGTATTCAAAAAATAGTCCACAACACCTTTGAACTCCTCAACCTCGGATACAAAATACTAATGTGTCCGAGCCTCAACTTAACCAAAATGGCCCTCATGTGTCCCAAATCTTTTGATGTTAAGACACCCTGAAGTTCACCGTTTATATTATAGTTCGTTAGTTTTAAAATGACAAGTTTGGCCAAAGTGGGTAATACTCCCTAGACCGCCAACCTCAGCCTCAGATACTTTGACTTCAAGGAGACGCCACCCACCCCTTTTCCTTGTGCTCCCAATAAGCATTAATACTGATGGGGAGATAGCTACCCGTATCACTCATTTTTCAATCCAATCATTAATGTGCAAGTTGAAAGGATTAATACCCCATCTCAGCCCTTCCCACAAAACTGGCGCCGTTGTCACTCATCCTTACATGTCAATGAAACAAAATTGCTAATACTCGAGTTTTATTTATCATTAAATATGCTTTATTCATACTTTCTACACCAGGCTGAACTGGTGAAAATGTACAAAGATAAAAAGTAATAGTAATAGTAATAAATAAATAAATAAATAAAATGAAATAAAGAAAGATAGAAAATTACATATATAGCAATGCTTCGTTATTACACATACATATCCAGTATTTCATGATGATAAGCTAGGTGCGGTCTTAATGCCGAGTCAACTGCTCACAGCACTGGTCATACGCTAGCATCACTCTATAAGTATTGTATTCATGGCTAAGATCTAGAAATTAATTATTCACGAGCCTGTTTTCTACTTTGTGAAATGAACCTGAACATTTGCAGTAATCATTTATAGCCATAGACATCACTAAGTGGAAGATGCAGCACAGTTTCTTTTCACAAAAGCGAGGTTAAGGAATGTGGCCAAAGATATATTATCACTGTCTTGTTTGGGTTGTTCATTATGATGGTGAATTTATCTTTGTTGTTTAAATGTGTAAAGC